ATGAAAAAAAAATGGTAGAGATATGCTTTGCACATTTCCAAATTTATTTGAGAAAATGGAAACTCTTTAAAGCTAAGATGAGATTTATGAACAGGATAAATAAAAAATGCAAAAAGATTTATGTATCAAAACTTCTTTAGAACTAAGATAAAACTTCTCTTTTTCATCATAATCAAAAACAGTTTTTCAAAGCTACATGAAATGTAAGTTCGAGTAAGTTACACATGAAGAGAAATGCATTATAAAGAGTGGCAATTACAATATTATACACAAAGAGCTAAGCATCTTTCTGGGAAAAAAAAAATGGTGGAGAGGAGGGAGGGCACGCTCTTTTCTAGAAATACACTTGAATGAAAATATTGAGATTTCTTTTCAAAAGGCATTCAGAGAAATCGAATGGCTGATGTCTCTTCAAAAAAATGAAAAAAGAAAAGAATCGAAAATATTAAAACTTGAAAGAGTTTTTGAAACAAAATGCCTTTGGAAAACCTTTATAGAGCTAGGTTGAAAGTTCTATCGTCATTCAGATGAAAAATGCAGTTTTTTTTTTTTCAATGTGGTTTTAAAGCTTTTAATTGATCATACCTGAAATGAGGTTTCTCTTCAGTAGGAGGTTTAACTGAACTCATTGCCGCTTCCTCCCTTCATCAGTTTTTTTAGGAAAACCAGGGATGATTCTTAGACATATTTGATGTTTTATAGAAGGTGACCGGAAGTTTGGCTAGAGATTGATTTTGGAGAAGTTTACCTTAAGTTGAAAATATTAGCAAGCAGTTGAAAATATGTTCTGATACTAAAATATAGCTGATATATAAAAAGAAAACTTATTATAATGAGGAGGGTTGAACTGTTGCAAATAATCCAGGTTTTACACTCGCCATATTTTAGGATATTTGAAATTTTCAGTTTTAGTTTAATACTATTCATTGCCTCTTCATTGCAATGGAGGATGAAAAAAAAATGAAGCTTGGTGCTGCAATGTAAAGGTGTCATCATATAAATTAAAATAGTTCATGATATAACAAAAATTTTTAATTTAAAGCTATTTTTATATCATGTAGTTAGATATTTAATAAAATAAATTAATTATTAAATATCTCTTAATGAATTTAAGTGTTAATACAATTAAATTTGAATTCAAATTTAAAACTAATGACTTGTGATCTAGTAATTTAGCATTAATAAAATAATCAGGACTTTTAAAGTTTAAATTATGTCATTTGTGATGTAATAGTTAGTTATTAAATATATTTAAGTCCAATTTGAAATTTGTGTCATGTGGCAATCATAAAAGGAGCCAAGTGTCGCCATTTGGATTCATGTACTCTTGTTTAGAATTTATAAGAATACCCGATGCCCGTTTATGTGTGATAATCTTTATTTCTACATACTTCATGCCATGTCATCAAAGAAAAATGATACAAAATTGTACATCACTCATCTCTATCTGCTGCAAGTTAATCCTTGTATTTAGAGAGGATTGATGAAATTGATTATATTAAAAGGTGATATGTGAAATATAGTGTTTGTTGAGAATAGGTTTGGAGTAATAATTCTCTTGATACTATTAGGGTATATATACATACATATATATATATATATATATGGGAAACAATCTCCTAATTTACAAACTTATCGAACATATTTATCCTAAATTAGGAAAGGAAATATTCTGAGATAAAAAAATAAAATAACATTGGGATGAAGGGAATAAATAATCCAGAGTTTTCTAAGTTGTCTCAATCAAATCCTCCAAGATTTTCTCAAATTTCCTTCAGAATTTTTGCAGTTTTTCATACTCCCCTTCAAGTTGGGTCATAGTTTTTGCAGAGATCACACTTGGAATTGAATTCTGAGAAGGTGCTTCGATGAAGAAGTTTGGTGAAGGTATCCACAATTTGTTGATGTGTCGTGATGTAGCTTAGTTGTATACTTCTCAAATTAGCCTTTTCTGAGATTAAGTTTCTATTAACTTTAATATGCGTGGTCCTGTCATGTTGCACTAGATTCTCAACAGTACTAATAGTTGTTTGATCGTCTCAAAACATTTGTATATGTCTATTGAAGGTGCATCTCAGTTCCTTAAACGATTTCAGAATTCAACTTCCTTAATAGATTCTCAAAGCCGTTGCTCTGTACTCTGCTTCTGCACTACTTCTAGAAACGATAACTTGCTTCTTACTTCTTCATGTAACTAGATTTCTCCATACATTTGAGCAATAATCTGTAGTGGACCTTCTGTCAGTTAGTTCCCCACCCCAACTAGCATCAATGTAGACCTCCTCCCGATTTTCCATTTTCTAGAAAACCAATCCATAACTAGGATTCTTTTTAAGAAACCTTTGAATTTTGTATACCATCTCTAAATGCTCTTTAGTTAGGTTATTCATATGTTTGCTCACTATTTCGACAAAGTATGCAATATTTGACCTAGTGTATGACAGATAAATGAGTTTTTTCTACCAATTTTTGGTAGTTTCTCTTATCCACATATACTTTCTTATTCCCTGCTAGAGCCCATGTTTGGTTCCATTGGAGTATCAGCAGGTTTTCATTCAATATTCTCTGTTTCCTTTAGTAGTTCTATGATGTTTTTTTTTTTTGTGATATAACAATGTCTTTCTCAGATCTTGCTACCTCCATACCTAGAAAATATCTATATTTCTTAGGTCATTGATTTCAAACTTAGCGAAATTTTTTTTTTAATTTATTTTAATAATTTTTCTTCCATCATCACCAGTGAGAATCATATCATCCACATATATAATCAGTGCAGTAATCTTATTTCCACGAGTGTGTTTTATAAATAATGTGTGTTCATCTTGATTTTGAGAATATTCACTGGATTTCATAGTTTTAACAAACTATTCAAACCATGCCCTTGGTGAGTGCGTAGACCCATAGAGCGATTTCCTAAGTTTGCATTCTAGGTGTTTGTTGGAATTATTTTGTAAGTCTTGCTGGTATTTTCATGTACACTTCTTCCATGTCCCCATTTAGGAAGACATTTTTTTTTATGTCAAATTGGTGCAGTCCCCAATTCTTGTTAACTGTTATCGAAAGGAGAACTCTGATTGTATTCAGTTTGGCAATGCGAAGGTCTCGTGATAGTTAATCCCGTAGGCTTGTGTGAAACATTTTGTAACAAGTATGAATTAAAATCTCTCAATAATCCCATCAGCTTTGTATTTGATGTTGAGCACTCACTTATATCCAACTGTCTTTTTATCCTGAAGGAATTTTGTAAGAATTCATATGTCATGTTGTAGTGTTTGAATTTCCTCTTCCTTTGCTTTGCTTTTTGAATTTTCAAGAGCTTCGCGAATGGATTTAGAATTCTGCACACCATCAATGTTAGATATGAGGACTCTGTGGGATGAGGATAGCTCCCTATAAAGTACATACTATGCAGATTTTCTCGTTGCTTGCATCAGAAGAGAAAGAGGATAACTCATGAATACTAGGCTCCTTACCCAAAATTTTAGGTGAATGTTGACTTGGGTTTTGGTTTGAGCGATTCTGTTCTTGCAAGTTATCTTCCACCCACTCAATAATTTTTTTCCTCCTTGTGTACACGCCTATTTCATTTTAGCTCTCAAGTCACATAAAGCTATCATACTAATTCTCTTTTCTATGGCTCTAGGAAATGTGAAGCTAATTGGGTCTTTCAGTTTTTTGTGCAATTGCTTCTGCAGAATTACGACACTCCTTAGGCAATTATTTCACCAGCTTCTAGTTTCTTTTTTGTCCAATACATCCTTCACGAACCCCATGTCACTCAGCATTCATTCTAAGGCTTTAGCATAGGAGACATTAATAGTGAGTTTATTGACAACCTCTAGAGTATTGGGACATCTGTTGGCCCTTCCCATGCTTCTGGGTCTAAGGAAAGGGTGATGGTGGTCTCTATTGTCTTGTCCTAGGAGGTGAGGCAGGTCTTCTTTAAGTATGGAGTCAGTTTTTCAAGAAGGCTTGCTGGCTCAGTATCTGACTTATTGGTTTGCTCTCTATCTTGAGGGTATCTTCGCATTCCATCTCAGTCTTTGCACTGATGGCTTATTCCACATTTTGATTTCTTGGTTTAACTTCAGTGATACTAAGGAGCATTCCCTGAGGTCTATTACCAATCGCATTAGCTAACTGCACAATTTGATTCTCTAGTTTTCTCATGGCTATAGCTCAGCTTTTTAACTGGTTGACTATCTGTAACATTATCTCCTCCAAAGATAATCTTTTCTCCTTAGTCTGGGCATTGGAAGCAAATTCAGGTGTGTTGGTCTATCTCGGGTCACTATTTCCCTGGTGGTTCCAATTCGCTATGTTTGGATTGGTCGTTTCCCTGTTATTGGTTTCCCACACCTGAATTTTATTGATTCGGTTGAATTTTGGTTGGTTCTTCCAAACTGGTTTGTAGGAATTGGAATATGGACTGTTGAACTTAGTGCCCGTGATATTGACAGTCTCTAAGGCAACAATCCTCGGATCTTCTATTAGTTCATAAATCTAGTTGGGAATTATCAAGTTGGGAATGAATGATGTGATGAAAAATTCAAAAATTAAGTACGATCACTAACTAATAACAATATTTACCCAATAATTCAAAAGATCCACTAATGAATAAACTTTAACTTATTTTTAAAGTAAAGCTGCTGTTAATGTAAATATGGCTTTCTTATTTGGCCGGGTTTTTGATAAACAGTTTCTTTTTTTCCACTTGCTTCTAGCTAAAGACTTTATCATGAAAGGTGTAGTTTAAATTATTCTGGTGACAAGCTGTGGTATCTATTTACATTGTCATGCATAATTTTGAATGAGCTCAATTTGAAATACATGGGTTAATTCTTTGGCAGTTGTGGATTTCTTGCTTGTTATGGTTCAGCTTTTGTTGAATGGTATTTTTAAATTTCATATTTGTATATTATCTTCAATCAAATTGTTACCTAAAATTGATGTTTCAGAATGTTGCAGCATTTTATGTCTTTCTGGACTACATTTTGCAGACGGACAGGAGTCTAGGATCACTAAGAAGGCAAGTTGCTTTTATCTCGCAAATGGTGGAGGACCTAAGGTTGAAGAAGGATGAAAGAGCAAAAAAAATTTCTGAAATAAAGTCAGAGATTGAAAAGATCATTGGAGAGATTAATGGATGCAATCTTCAAATTAATAATGGTAAAGTGGAAAATGATGATTTCTCAATAAGGATGTTGAATGACTATCAAGCACAGCTTCGCTCCCTTCAGAAGGAGAAGGTATGCATTTGGTGTTTTTTTAGTCACCATCCTTTAAAACCCTAAGCATTTTTTTGTGGCCATCTAAAATTGTTACGTATTGACTCTATCTTGCATGACTCATACGAGGAGATATGTTTCAAACTTTTTATGTGAAAGCTTGGAAATGAGTTAGATGATTTATATTGAGAGATTTAGGCTTTTTTTTTCAATGTGTGAGGCTGCGAGTTTTGAGTAGGGTATGCAGTATTCTTTTATTGCATGACATGATTGTGACTTTTTGTTAGCAAAGTAGATTTTCTCCTCTTCTGCTGATATAAGCTTACTAAGCATAACCATGAAAATTTTGATGTTATTTTTTTATGATTGTAAATCCTTTTTGTAGTTATTTTGTGTTTCATTGTACTTTTTATTTTTGATATTTCTATAGCATAATGCTAGATGTACCCATTTTCTTATCAAAGCGAATGGTTCCGAGGAATATGACAGTCATGAAGTTCACAATTGAGAAGTTCGATGGTTTATAAGAGTTTCGAGTTTTAGAAAACTAAGAGTGGCATTCTAATTTGATTGTGACTAATGATGACGCTCATGTTACATCTACATACGAAAATTCTTGAAACCACTAGTAAAGAGGAGAAGACAAAGATCAATGAGAAGGCTCTTTCCACGATTTGATTGTGTTTGGCTGCTGAACTGTTAACAAAGTTCTATGAGGAAACAATTGTAAAAAGTTTATGGCTTAAGCTAGAGCTGTGTACATGACTAAACATGTCTAAAAAATAAATTTATTAAAAATGGAGACTCTACTTACTATCCATGTCTGCCAATGCACTTATTAAATCACATATATATGAGTTTAATTTCTTTATTTGAGATTTCAGAATTAGTAAAGTGATTTTTTATGATGATCAAGCTTTGTTGATATTGTGCACTAGTTTGTTATAAATACTATCGAATAATCATTTTATATGGACATGATACAATAAGCTCTGAGGATGCTTTGAATGTATTTATTTCAAAGGAGCTAATTATTAGACTTAAGGGTGAAAATAAATCAATTGAAGATTTATTGTTGGTTACGGTAAGATTATATGAGCAATGGTTACTTCTTTTAATCATGAATTCTCACAGCAAGTTCCAAGGATATTAAATGTTTTTATTTTAAGAAGAAATGGCACATAAAAGAGATTATTACGGTTTGAAAAGAAGATGGCGTGCAAATGACAATCACAAGGAAAAATTGGTAGATACAAGTGTAGTTGTAGATTGGTTTTGTTCTTGCATTGACAATACTTTTTTGGTGATTGAGATAAGCGAGTGCAAAGAGCAGTGGATTATAGATTTAGCTTGTTCATGTCATGCGCATTCTGTTAGAGACGCTTTCAAGTAATTTATATTCTATTGGAGTCAAGTGTAGTTGTGGATTGGCTTGGTTATGATGGTGCCCATGCTCTTTTGGTGATTAGTGGAGACAGGTGCGAAAAGTAATTGATTTTGCATTTATTCAAGTCACCTACGTTTTATTGGAGATGTTTGTCACATATGAGCTAAGTTTTAGTTGTTCTATTTAAATGGGAAACATAGTTGTGTGCATAAGTGCAAGTTTTGATGCTATGAAGTTGGGGACATATGGTAGTGTTTATTTTGTTGGATTGAGTTAAATAAGTGTTAATTTTGTGCAATAATATTATATAATTATGTGCTCTCAAAGTTGCATGATGTATGCTCTCTAGCGATGCTAAAGCCCTTATGATTTTTAAGATTGTTTTAATTGCTTCAAAGGCAAATAGGCTTGGTGGACACTATATTGATGAGTGTAAATCTAGTGTTGATGCGATGAATTCTTAAAACTTTTGTGAAACATGAAATTTACAAAAGCAAAAGTGGTTTAGGTTCTAGGGAACGGTTTTGAGATAAATAGAAATTTAAATTGTGGGAGAGCTTTGGAGGATCACTATTTTATAGCATAATCTTGTTCCAGGCTAGGTTGTATCTCTACAATTTTCAAATGAGGAAACGGCTAATTCAAGGATACTAAAATTCAATGGCATGCTGATGATCCAGTTTGGTGGTGCCACTTAAGAGTGTAACATTTATTTACACATGTACTCATAGATACATTCAACTTAGGCAACATTTAAAGCCCGAAGAGATTGTATATTTCAATGGTATGGGAGCTTAGAGTATTTACAAAGTGATTTAATTTTTTTTAAATTAATGAGTCAAGGGGAGAAATGCGAAGTATTGACTTGATATCATTCATGAACCATATGGTTAGGTAGGTTTGAAGCTTATTGTGTGAAAGAATGAAAATGAGTTAGGTGATTTGTTAGGTATTGACAAAAATATTCATGAATGAATTACATGATGAGATTGTTATCAATCATGAAGACTTGAAAATGGTTTATATGATTTTGCATATGTTATATAGCTTTGCATTGAGTTGTCGGTTATTTAATTTGATTTATGAAAGCTTAACTGACATGACAATACAAGGAAATCTTGAATTTTTGTGAAGAAGTTAAGAATAAATTGAGGCGAGAGAGAAGATGTAAGACAAGGGGAAGGAAAGAGAAGAAAATCATAAAGTATTATCATGATTAACTAGTCATATATATTTGAAGAATTTATAAATGAGAGAAAAAATATGGCATACAAGGAGAAAGAAAGAGAAAAACTCTCAAAATTTGTTTTTTTCCCAAGCATTATCTTGATCAATTAATCATATCTTTTTGAAGAAATTTTAAAGTGAGCAATTTTATGGTATTTTGTTTCTTTTGTTTGAAGCATTAACTTGATCATTTAAGAGAGTTAGTATCGTTTTTTTCTTTGTTGAGTGACTGTATTGAAATTTGAGAAGGGTTGGCTATATTCTCTTTGATTCCAACTTGAATTCTGCTGAGCATGGTTAATTTGTGGAGTAGTGTGGATTAGTTGTAAAGAGTAATCAATGAGATTTGTATCATAGAATATATAGATAAGATCCTCGAATAAATGTATCAAAAGTGTTAATGAATAGCATTGTCAAGGCGAGTCAATAGACATTGTGAGTAGAAAATTCTCAAGCCTTGTTGCCTAGGACTGTAAATGAGCCAAGCTTGAGCAAGCTCGGGCTTGGCTCATGCCCAGGTCATTCAATATTAATTTTGTTTGAAATTGGCTCGTGCTTGGAATTGCTTAGGAACAACGTGTTCGTGTTCGACTTAATTTACATATTCTTGTTCATGTTCAGTTCAAAATTGACTCATTTAAATTAATTAAAAAAATAGATATGGGGTGTTGTATTCGAACATGCGCTATTTCTATGCAATAAAAAGTGCACAACCACGTGATCAGATGAGCTGTAGTGATTTAAACTTAGATATAAATTTATATAATAGTTCTCTTATTTTGAGCTAAAATGAGTTGAATAGGGTCGACCAAAAGGTTTTTTGTGTTCGGTTCACTTAACAAACGATTCAAACATGAGTTGTTTGCAAATAATGTGCTTTTTTGGCAGCACTATCATTGGCTTTGGAGAATAAAGGAGATCATGGAGGTGGACATTCTGATCATATGCAATGTAGGTTTGAGGAGAAAGGATTACATGCCATATTAGAATATAGAGGTTATTATAAAAGAGTCCATCTTTATTAAATTGTTTTTAAAAGTGTAAACATATTTATATAAATAATATATATAGTTTTCTTATTTCAAACTAAAATGAGTTGAATACGATTGAACAAAATGTTTTTTTGTGTTCGGTTCGCTTAATTAAGGAACGATTCAAACACGAGATACTTAACAATCCAAATATGAGTTGTTTGTGAACAATGAGCTTTTTTGACAGTGCTATTGTTGCCTTTGGAGAATAAAGGAGATCATGGAGGTGGACATTGTGATCAAGTGCAATGTTGATGTGAGGAGGAAGGCTTAAATGATTGATAGGCTCCAATGCCATATTAGATTATGGAGATTATTATAAATGACTTCATCTTTATTAAATTGTTTTTTTAGTGTAAAATATTTATGAGAAATAGAAGAGATTTGGTTACTTAGTGGTAGATGATGGAGACAAGGATCTCCTGGAGGGATCTCCCGAAAGAAAGATCCCTAAATTTGTAGGGCAGAAGCCAATAGAGCACAAATGGGTTGTAATCAAAGGGATAGAAGAGAGCAGGCCAGTGCAGATTAGTAGCTCAAGGTGTGCAGCATTGAAGAACAGGTGTTTAGGGAAGATCATGAGAATTCTAGGACATATCATGCGGATTAAATGAATACATATTTTCTTAGTTCAAACATGATGTTATATGAAAAAATAAGAGAAAATAATAATACAATAAATGTTAATATACTTAATAATGATGAAAAATTACAATAATAAAAAATCTATTTTTTTCTTATATATAAAATAGTGCATGTGATAATTTAGATATGATGGTAAAATTAAATTAAAAGATAATAAATTATAAAATGTTAAGGAAGATTGTAGGGTATATGCTATGAGGATGAATGGAATAGAGATAATAGTGGTTATATAGTAGAAATTTAATGGTTGACTTCTGAGTTGATTAAATATTAGTTATATTAAATTAATCATTATGATGGTATTCTTAATATGATTGTTCTTAAAAATTATAAATTTAAGTTTGTGAAGAAAAAGGTAGGGCTCTGAAAAATGCATAAATTTAAGTTTGTGAAGAAAAATGTAGGGCTCCTAAAAATGCATATTTTCTTAGTTCAAACATGATGTTATATGAAAAAATAAGAGAAAATAATAATACAATAAATGTTAATATACTTAATAATGATGAAAAATTACAATAATAAAAAATCTATTTTTTTCTTATATATAAAATAGTGCATGTGATAATTTAGATATGATGGTAAAATTAAATTAAAAGATAATAAATTATAAAATGTTAAGGAAGATTGTAGGGTATATGCTATGAGGATGAATGGAATAGAGATAATAGTGGTTATATAGTAGAAATTTAATGGTTGACTTCTGAGTTGATTAAATATTAGTTATATTAAATTAATCATTATGATGGTATTCTTAATATGATTGTTCTTAAAAATTATAAATTTAAGTTTGTGAAGAAAAAGGTAGGGCTCTGAAAAATGCATAAATTTAAGTTTGTGAAGAAAAATGTAGGGCTCCTAAAAATGCATATATGAGGAAAAGAGACAAGTATTAGTTTTCATTGTAATTTTTATGGTTTATGAGAGGATTCATTTTGGCTGTTGAAGCAATACGAGATTTATAATAACTTATCTTTGAAATTAAACAAATATTTAAAGAAACAAGAAAAACACATTATTACTTTTAAATGGTGAATTACTTAATCATGAATAGATTTTTTTTTTACTTGAAATGTTAGAAAAATGTTGTTGCTAAAATTCGATGGTGATTTCAAAATAAAGTTTGATTAATAAACTAGAAAAGTAGTCTTAAATATCTTAGAAGTATACAAGAAAAAATAATCAAAAGATTTATCTTGCTAGATTTGATCTTAAAGAAAGGCAAATTGGAAATTTTATGACTTAAATATGATATATGTTAAATAGCTAATTGCATTATGTAGATTGACATGGAATTTTGCAAAAGTCTGGAAATTCCTTGTGTAAAAGGAAGTGTAGTTACGAGGCACAAAGGATTTTGAAAATTTATTTATAGATTGGTACCAAAAGATCAAGTTAAAATTAGCTTTGGAGAATCTGCATGCATGAAAAAATTTAGGTTCGTATGAGATATCTATTGAGATTTAGAGTGTTATTAGCTATATTAAAATTTATATTATTTTAAAAATTAAATAGATGTCTGATGAGTTGACAAAGTATCAGTTCCTATTTTTATGAATAAAGATATGCACAAGAGTGTGCAAATTATAGATGAATTAAGTTAATATGTCATTTAAAGTTATGGTAGAGAGTAATTAAACATAGGTTATGACAAGATACAAATTTCTCCAAATCAATTTGGATTCATGCGGCAAGTCTCTATGGAAGCAATACATTTATTGAGAGGTTTGATGGAGAAGTGCATAGAGGGTAAGGATGAGTTATATATGATTTTTTTTTTTATTTAGAAAAATCTTATGATAAAGTTCAAAAGATATACTTTCGTGAGTTTTAGAAAAATTTTATTAACGTGGATATGTGTTAATAATGTCATGTGATATGACATTATTGTGGAGATTGTATTGGCCAAGTTTTAGAATTTTCACTTCAATCATACATGTACAATTTAATCGAATTCATTGAGGAAGAGAGAATTCTTAGAAGTGGCCTCAAATATATGTGCTAGATAATGATAATGATGACATATGGCATACAACAAATAATTGTGCATGCTTCTTGTACCATATGTCAAATTTCGATCTAGGAGTGTAAACGAGTCAAGTGTAGCTCGAGCCACGCGCGGCGTGAGCTCAACTTGAGCTTAATTAATTTTATTGAGTTCGAGCTCAAGCTTGAGCTTAAGTCTACGAGTTAGAGCCAGCTCAACTTGCAATTTAATTATCCATGTACAATTTAATCGCATTCACTGAGGAAGAGAAATTCATAAAACTAGCCTAAAATACCCGAGTTAGACAATAATAATGATAATGATAATGATAATGATGACATTTGGCATACAACAATTAACTGTGCATGCTTCTTGTATCGTATATCAAAGTTCTGTCTAGGGGTGTATGCGAGTTGAGTCGAGCTCGAGGCACCCTCGGCTTTAGCTTGAGCTTGTTTAATTTTATCGAGTTCGAGCTTATCTCTATGAGTTCTAGCAAGCTCACGAGCTGGCTAGTTTAGTAAAAAAGAGAGAAAATGATATTAATTTAAGATAATATTATACTAAAATGACAAATAAAATGAGTAATTAAAAGATAAATAATAAGAAATTACTAAATATAAAATACAAAATATTATTTTTTTAACAATTTTTATTACTTTAAAAATAAAAATTTCAAATTTAATATATTTTGAGTATATTTTCAGTTAATATTTTTTTAAACGAGCCGGCTTACGGGCTAATGGGTTGAGTCGGGACTAGTTTGAGATTAGCTTGTTGGCTCATCGAGCTCAGTTCACGAGCCACTTATTAAGCTGAGCCTCTCTTGAAGTCTTCACCTTTTATCACAAGTAACATAAAAACAACTGTAGATCTCCCAAAGTATCATTTGTTTTTTCGCTGTCAAGTAATAATGTGGCTGGTATTTTTTTATTCTCACATCATTATTATTATTATTTCTTTAACGCAAGAGTAATTTCAATCTTTTAATGAGTTATTTGATGGCATAATTCAATTTTTGGATAATTGGTTCAAAAAATTCCCAAGTTTCTCAACCAGCATGTTTTACTTTGGATGAGATAGCTCACTTTGTAAATATTAGTTTCATTTTTGGAAATATAATACCTTCTAACATTGCTCTTGTTTTTCCAGTCAAAGCGTGTTCACAAGGTCCTCGAAAGTGTAAATGAAGTGCATTCATTATGTAGTGTGCTTGGCAATGATTTTGTCAAGACATTGAATGAGGTTCATCCAAGCTTGCACGAGCCCGGTTTAGGCCAATCTACAAATATTAGTGATAGCACATTGGAAGGACTTTCACAAATGATTCAGAAATTAAAAACAGAGAAGAGAAAACGAATTCAAACGGTAATAATATTAATAGCTCTACATTTTTTATTTTTTGCTAGATGATGTTGTAGTTCTTATTATTACATAATTTCAGGTGTCTCAAGTCCTTGAATCTTTAACTGAACTATGGAACCTATTGGATTCGCCGGAAGAAGAGCGCAAAATTTTTGAGAACATTTCATGCATTTTTGGGTCACGAGAGGAGGACGTGACAAACTCCGGTGTTCTATCAATTGACACTGTGAAGGAGGTTTGTCCATAGAATCTTATTCTCTTCTTTAAAGAGAAAGTGTCAAGACGATCTACCAACTTTTTTGTAAGGGTCTATTTTAGTCTCAAAGTCTATAAAAGTGCAAATTTAGTTCTCACACTCTTTTAATCAGGGCAAAATTAGTTCTTTATGGGCACTATTTTAGCTCATATTAAAAGATTCTAGGGACTAATTAACACTTTTATAGACTCTCAGACTAAAATGAACCCATTTAAATAATCAGGAGATTATTTTGACACTTCACCCATTCCTTTAAACAACTTGTGTTATGAACATCTAGTAAAGGCAACATTTTTTCTCATGTTTGACAGATTGAAGCTGAAGTTGGCCGATTAACAAAGTTGAAAGCCAGCAAAATGAAAGAACTCGTCTTAAAGAAAAGATTAGAACTGGAGGAAGTGTGTCGGCAAGCACATATCGAACCCGATATGAGCACCGCATCTGACAAATTGTGTGCTTTGATTGATTCCGGTATGCATCTTATTTTCCTTTTCTGGTGAAGGGTTCCTATTTTATTAGAATATTAAACCTCTTCACTCTTTCTGTGGTTAGCTCTTGTGGATCCTTCAGAACTGTTAGCCAATATTGAATCTCAAATTATTAAAGCAAGGGAGGAATCCTATATCAGGAAGGATATTATAGACCGAGTAAGTAAATGGGAGGCAGCTTGTGCTGAAGAAAGGTGGCTTGAAGAGTATAACCAAGTAATATTTTCTTTCCTAATGAGACTACATTGATGACTTTATTGATTTCACTTTTTAAACATGAGAAGTTTTGTCAAGTTTTTTGAAACAGTTTTTTTTTAATTGAGTTCTGCCATATGATGTTTTTATTGTTATGCTGGAGCCCGGTCGAACCCGCCTCCCGCACCCGTTCGACGTAGGCAATTTGCCGAATCACGTAAATCTGTGTGTTGCGCTGTGGTGTTACTATTTTTTGTGTGAATTTTTTTCGTTCTATTTTTGCTTCGTCGATCGTTCTCTTATTGCTTTATAGATATACCACATCAACTGGTATATCTAAATCTCGCAACAACAACTGGGGTCAGAGCTTTGTTTGGATCTAAGAAAGTATGATAGTTGCAGAATTAGTTAAGGTTTCAGGGATCAAGAAATTTGATGGCACAGATTTTGTTTATTGGAGAATGCAGATAGAGGATTACTTTTATGGAAAGAAACTTCATCTTCCGTTATTGGGGAAAAGACCTGAAAGGATGAATGAAACTGAATGAAATTTGTTGGATCGACAAGTTCCGGGGGTTATTTGATTGACTCTATCGAGGTTCGTTACACACAACTTCGTGAAGGAGAGGACTACTGCAGATCTCATGGGAGACTTATCAGGTATGTATGAAAAATCATCGGCGAATAACAATATGTAATTGATGAAGAAGTTATTCAACTTGAAGATGACAGAAAGTGTTTCTATTGCTCAACACCTGAATTATTTCAATACTATCACAAATTAATTGTCGTCTGTTGAAATTGATTTTGATGATGAGATACGTGTGCTGATGTTGTTGGCATCATTGTCAAATAGTTGGGAAACTATGAGGATGACAGTTAGCAGTTTTGCAGGTAAATCTAAACTGAAATGTGATGATATTCGTGATTTAATTTTGACTGTGAAAGTTTGCAGGAAAGTTTCTGGCGAGATCTCAGGTTCGAGTTCGGCACTGAATGTTAATTTCAGAGGGACATGACAAGAAAGAAACTCAAATAGAGGGAGATCAAAATCAAAGTCTTGCCTGCTGGAATTGTGGCCCATATAAAGAAGAACTATAGGAATCCCAAGAAGATGGAGAATGATAGCGCAAATATGATATCTGAAGAAGTACATGATGCACTATTGCTAGCAGTTTATAGTTTTGTTGATGATGGAAGTGAAGAGGAAAGTGGGTCCGGGGCACCCATTCCTACAGATGATGGAGAACCAAAGAGCTATGAATAAATCTTGAAAGATGAAAGTTCGAGCAAGTGGGAGTTGACATAACTTTCACCAAGGAAGAAGACATTACACAACAAGTGTGTACCGGGTGAAGACTGAGCGTGATGACAATAAGAGATAAAACTAGACTTGTTGAAAAAGACTTTTAGCATAGGCAGGATATTGTCTATGCAACGGGAGTTGTAAGCACTTGTAAGCAGAGACGAGTAATTCAGGAAATAGCATGAAGGTGCAAGGCTATTTGGATCCTGCTGATATGTTGACTATGGATGTTACTCTTGAGAAACTGAAGTTGTGTACAGCTTCAGTTGGTCTTCTGGAGTGAAGACAAGGCAAGAGATGTAGTTGGTCTTCTGGTGTTGGATTCAAGTTGGAGGATTCATGGAATATATCAGTTCAAGGAAAGAGATGTAGCATGTGTACCAGTCTCCAAGTGGGAGATTTGTTATGTTGGAGCTCGGTCAAACCCGCCTCCCGCCTTCCACTTCCCAGTCCTGCGCCGGATAGCGATCCCGCTCCCGTTCGCAAAAGGTCGCGATCGCAACTCTGCGGTTTCGCGAAAACCGCCGCTCCGGCCTCCATTTTGCGAAAACCGCCAACTTTCGTTTTGAGTTCTTCTTTGGGTTTCCTCGGAATAGAGGAAGAGTTCTTCGGTTTCCGCGGGATAGTGGGAGAGAAGTGCAAGGAGAAGTAGTTCCTTGCGGAGGAAGAAGGAAGGAGAAAGAAGAAGAAGATTGTTTTTTCTTGGCTTCTTCTTGGTGACTTGTGGCAGAAAAGAAATTGGGTTTATTTCTCTTGTAAGTTTGTCTTCTTCTGTATATCTCGGTGTAAAGATTTTTCGGTGTATATCGGTGTAGAGAGAGAAGAAAATAGAGAGAAGAAGAGAGCAGCGAAGTGAGAGATTCCTCTTGTAAGTCGAGGTGATCGACTGGTGTAAATTCCTCAAGTAGTAGAACCCTCTGCAACTCCGTAGATGTAGGCAATTTGTCGAACCACGTAAATCTGTGTGTTCCGCTGTGGTGTTACTGTTTTTGGCTCGTTCTATTTTTGCTTCGTCGATCGTTCTCCTATTGCTTTATAGATATACCACATTAACTGATATATTTAGATCTCGCAACAACATTTATGAGTCCTGATTTTCTCTTTCATATGGATCTTATCAGCCAAGGTTTTGCTTTCTGAGCTGATCTTACCATATGTTAAATAATTTGAAAATATAGTGCACAATTTTTACTGTTTAAGGACGCGATTTAGTTAAATTAATCTCCCAAAAGTTAGTTTTGTATCGAAACAATGTTCATTTAAATTCAATGTATGCCAACCCCAACAGAAGCTTTCCTAATCTCTTTGTTTAAAGTTCATTCTTGTTCAAGAATAGGCTGATACCTTCAATTACACAGGATGAGAACAGATATAGTGCCGGAAAAGGTGCCCACTTGAACTTAAAACATGCAGAGAAAGCTCGTGTTACAGCAGTCAAAATTCCAGGTATTTAAGGCCCAGAAATCCTACTGTTCATACGTCCATAAAATCTGCAAAAACTGATTTTTTTTTTCCTTGTTCCAGCCATTATTGACAATTTGATGAGCAAAACAATTGCCTGGGAAGATGAAAGGAACATGCATTTCCTTTATGATGGGGTCAGTTTAATCTATTTCTCATTTTTCCTCAGATTCTGCTGAATTTCTCTCAAAACTTCTGAATAACTTGCTGAATCTTATACGCTTGATCCATGTAGGTTCGTTTGATCTCTCTATTGGAAGAGTATAAGCTCGCAAGGCAACAAAAGGAAGACGAAAAAAAGCGTTTTCGCGTAAATATACTTCTACGAACAACGCTTTTTAGACTTTACACAATAATAATAATATAAGCATTGAAATTCCTCTCTGCAGGATCAGAAGAAGCTTCAACATTTACTTCTTACAGAGAAAGAAGCACTCTATGGATCAAAATCCAGCCCAAAGAGGAGCAACAGTTTAAGAAAACCCAATGGATGTCATGCTTATGGGAACGGGAATGGCTTCATGACACCCGGTCCTCGTAGAATTTCCATAGGCAGCGCAACACCGGAGCTCCTCACTCCTCGCTCGTACTCCGGCCGTCAGAACGGCTACTTCAAGGAAATGCGACGGTTATCAACAGCCCCTCTCAACTTTGTCGCTCTACCCAAAGAGGACACAATCTCTTCCTTCGCTTCTATCAGTTGCTTTGAACCTGGGTCTCCTCCACGGGGTTAAATTGTAAGCTTTTTGTATAAAATGATTTCAACTATTTATGCTGTTATTACTTGGAATGTGATGTGAGGTTAAACCTTGCAGGAGGAGAAGAAGTTAACAGATGAAAGGTATAAAGCTCTAACTTTGTGCTGAATTGTTTAACATTTTAGGGAAGTATTTTGTTGTGAAGATTTAACTAATGAGTGGATGTAAGAATTTATGATAATTGATCTGTTTTGTTGAAATTTATTGTATCCCAACAGAGTGCTAACTTGATTAGAAATTCTGTTATGTTAACCTTTATTTTAAGTTTTAATGTATATATAATCCTTGTGGCACTCATATGTGCATGTCATGAGTTTCATGGTGATTTTTGGTTGGGGGCATTTACATACATACCCACCAATTCCTATGTATTTATTTATCTAACGACTAAACTTTGCTTGTTTAACTTTTATATACTCCAAATCTTTTGTTTTAAGTAAAAAATTATGACTTATTTTTAACAGTAAAACAATTATTTTCATGCATAAATATTGTTTACTAAAAAATGCTAGCATGAATCTTGAGGGGATCTAACCGTCGGGAATGGAGGTGTGCGGATAGAATGGTTGTTGTTATCAATTTGTAAATTTTATTGATGCATTAAAATTAGAGGTGATTAATTTTGTTTGAATAATACCATGTTTCTGCACTCAAGGTAACTCAATTCGATCGAGTGATGTCGACAGTCGATTAAAATGTTCGGGGAACATAAGTTGATGGAACAATAAAGTATAACAATGTAACTGCTCAACCACAAATACGAGTAAAGGAAGTTTTTGAAACAGAATAAAATTCGAACATTTTTATTATTTTTGTTGGAAGTTATAAAACATCATGCCAACAATAAACACAAAAGGTACACCCGCCACAAATCTTAAGACCAAGAACAATCTTCGAAGAAAAAAGCGAAAGCTCAATCAGAATTCAACCAATAAGTTCTCGCAAAATACTCACATTTTTTTCGCTCCCTTAACATTTTCAAATTTTCAGATTTTCCTCACAATAGAGGAACAGCGGGGAGATGAAGAAAATAGGGAGGCAGAGGATACCACTACCAGAAGGCTTTCAAGTCTCACTCCTCTTCCACTAGAGGTAAGGAATCAGCTCCACTTCTTGTAGCAATTATCAAATGAATGTATTGCACTTCTTAGGAACATGTGCCCCAACGCCACTATTCCCAAGAATTCACTACATTCGTTCATGGAGGGAGTATCCATGGTGTCGAATCTCGACAATGTTCTGTTTAACACTCGACCTAGAGAAATTCCCCTCTTTCGACACTCAACTCAAATAAAGGGTCAAGCTAATACATGGCCTTCACAAGACCCATCACTCCCGTCGATGGAGGCTCATCTCCACCTCCAACGACACATAAAAATCGAGAAGATGCTTGCATGTTGTACTAACCTGCTAATTTCTCATGAGTATGAATGCAATCTATAGAGACCCGCTCCCCCTTTGTATAGGAGTGCGGCCAACAAATATAGGTTATTCTCCCACAAAAGCTTGCAGAGGTCCCATCTCCTCACAAAAGCCTGCAAAGGCCCTGCCATGGCAAGACAGTTCAGGTAGTTCCCAAAAAAAGGAAGAAAAAATTCAGCCATCATTAAAGCAATCTTTAAAGCTAGACCAATAGAGGTCACGAGATAGTAACAAAGAGGTCATGAAGTGAGAATGAGGTTGTCGATCGATTGCAATAATATTTAACAATCTCCTCAAACACTCGGGAAACCCAACCCGATCAAACGACGTTCGACGGTCGTTTTTCAATATGCAAGGGACTCAAATTGGTTGAGTAAAAAGTTATGAATCCAAGACAGTCGATTATGATAAACCGGTCAGTTATTTACAATGCCTTTAAATTGCAAACATGTGTCTCCGAGATTGAAAAGTTCAGGTTTTTTTAAATTGGTTCTCCGCTCGCTAGTGACAAGATTTGTGAAAGAGTATAGTGAAAATCATCTTGGAAACAAGTCTTGGGGATCATCCTCATAGATAACGATAATATTCCTACCTAACGAGAGGAATAAAACCTGACCGAGGCAAAGATTTGATTGATCAAGTGCGACAGGGTCAGCATTAACAAAAGCTTGCATAGATTAACCAATCTAGTTATTGTTGACTTCCATTTTTTATGTGACACATACGAGAAATCCTTACTGAGTAACACAATACTATAATCAAGGTCTACACTGTCATAGCCACGCTCCGTGTCCATTATTGTCAAACCGGCATCGCCTCTGGCATCCTCTGCGTTGACGTTTGTTCCTGTGGCACAGGGTTGTATCTAGTTGATATAGGTGTTCATGTGATGTAGATGGTCAATGAAGTTACCCCACGTCGTATTAGTACCTCAAGCTTAAGGTCTGGATAGACGAATTTCATGCTGGAAATGTTCTACTCAATGACACATAGACGGTTCGTACACCTGAGTTCTCTTAAGATGTGTTCACGACCTTTATGGAGGTCCCAGGATCATAACTGCTGATATCTGATCATCCAAAGGTCCCAAGAGGCCCGAAACCCCCTTAACGAGCTTGTCCGGAAGCCCATATTTTATGTTCGGCGTGGCCACGCCTAACCAATGGCATGAACACGCCTAAACCGGTCATGGTCACACCAAAACCTCCCCAAAAAGCTCAAATGGTCTGCTTTTGGCATGACCACACTAGCTAAACAGAGAGTTCAACATAATTACGCTGCAACTCGGGTGTGAACACGCCCAAATTTAAAGAGGAGCTAGATTCATCAACCGGCATGACCATGCCCAAAAGTGGTGTGGCCATGCAAACCAAACCGAACAATTGTCGTAATTACGCCATGCCTCAGGTGTGACCATGTCAGGCCTCCATTCGTGGTGAATGCTCTAGTGGTGTGACCACAACCGAATGCAGTGTGGCCATGCCACCAGAACCTATTCCTCGATTTTGACCTCCAGTCCCCAAATCCTCGCAGACGAGGACGCCATGACTGGTGGTTCTCCCTCCTTTTTCCTGGTTTTTCACCCAAAATGGCATAGGAACCATTATTAGTTCGTGCCAAATGGGGGAAACAACTTGGGACCATTGGGCTACTTCCTAGGGCAAGTTTAACTAGGGGAAGAGGGCTCATTTGCAAGGATTGGTTGTCATTTTGCTTGAGGAGCTTAGGGAAGAAGAGAGCTTGAGGGAGAGAATTCAAGGTGCTTCCTAGGGGTTTTTTAAAGGGGTTTCTTCTTCTTCCTTCAAGAGAAGCCATGGCAAGCCCATTTCTTCCTTTTTCCTTAACTTTTCTTCCACTTTTCCAGTCATCTTCCTTGTTTTCAATGACTTTTGGCGAGCTGACGAGGAAAGCTTCGTCCTAGCATTGGAGAAGGTGAACTATTACAATCTCTCATCTTCTTTGGTGAGGAGAGCTTCCACATTAATTTGGAGAAGAAATTTGGTAGCCTTATCATTCTCTCCGGCGAGGAGAGCTTCTTCCTATTAGAGAAACGCTTCGATCAACCATCACGTAGGTGCAATTCCTCATTTTCTTGTGATTTTTTATTCCTAGAGTCCCCCAGGTTGGATGCTAAATAAATTAGGTTAGGATTTTTGTGTTCCTAAAGGAAGACCCATAGTTTTAGGTGCTTTGCATTCACACTCACAACTCCAAAGAGAAGAACCTATCTTTTTTGTTCTTGATCAAAATCCAAACGTCGGGGTTGTACTAATCCCATCATTTTCTTCGGTGATTTCATCAGGATGGACGTTTAAAATTCATTGGTTGTACTAATCCCATCATTTTCTTCGGTGATTTCCTCAGGATGGACGTTTAAAATTCGACCAAAAAGACGAGGGCATTCCTTCAATCGTCGTCTTTTCTGTCATGGAGAATCCCCCATGCAAGGGATTTCCCATCTAGCATAGTGCAAATGGAGGTGGGCATCATGTTGCCTCACACAATATGGCATTGATACACATCTCGATCATTTCACCTTAGGTTTTCCGTGAGTTCCCTAAAATAAGCACGATTCGTTTTCGAATCTAATCGGGCCTCATGTCGCATATATTTGCATCTTTATAGTGTGCTAACTTGAATTTAAAATGTTCATGAAAAAAAAAAAACAAAAACAGTTATAAACTAGTCTAACAAAGGCTTGTGTGTGAGGCTATTCACTCAAAAATTGAAAGTTGATTAGCGATTGACATAAATTAAATTTTTCGATCTCTAAAGTTAATAATTGATCAATGTAAAATATATGAACTCAATCTAAGTTCAGGATTTAGCTCTGAGGTGGTTCGTTATTAACCAGAGACAAGATTCATGGTACTTTACAAAAATCACCTAGAAGCAAGTCTCTCCAAAAGTGTTGTAGATTTGTCAATTACTTATGTTGAAAGATACTCTTTGTTTTTCCTTTGACATTAGGTTGCACTCTCATTTATTACCAAATATTATGACATGCCCATCTTGGTACATCTTGTGGGCTCTAGGTTGGATAGTGTATCTAATTGGGCAACAACTTGTTATGTGATGGCCTCTAAAAATTAAATCAAACTGCATATTATAACACAAAAGATAACTACATGGTCATTGACATGAAAGTTGTCTTGACTTCTATTTATGGCATGTTGTATCCGTCCAACCTTTTATGCCTTCTCGAGCGCCCAATATGCCATTTCATCATGATGACAACCATGTATAACTTGTGATAATTACTTGGTAGTAGAAATAACTGAGGATAGCTATCTGCTTGCATTGTGTTTCAAACTGCCACCATAGTTTGGTTTGGAAAATCATTTTCTCGTTGCTTTCTAGAAATTTATGTGGTTAGAAGATGTTTTTTTTCAACATAATCTGTTAAAATGTAGTGAATATAAGAAAATTATTGTCTTATATATATATATATTTAATTCCTACCACAACTCTCTAAGAAGTTAATTGCTCCGTCATAGTTTTATAACCACCTTTTTGAAAAGCTATACTCATCCCAAATATGGCGCTAGTCCTAGTGAATATGCGAATGATTCTTCTTTCCTGAAAGCATATAAATTTTAATATATAAAATGAATATTGAAAAAAAAAAATTGAGCATATTGTCTATAAAAACTAGTTCTAGTAGTTACCTACATGTACTGTTGGGATTTAATCAACATGTATTTTAAAAGAAGATGATATAATTAATAATTGCGTATATCTATTATTTAGTAAGCATATAGCGAGATGTTAGTGGGACGAACTTCTTCCAAAATATGACCACATTAAATATAAAATAAGTTAGAACTTTTTTTTTTTATGAAATATTTACCCAAACAATAAAATTTCTTTGGGCCCTCATTTAGTGAAATGGACTGTTTATCACGACGTTGGATTCATCAAAATAATCTGATTTGATCTGATTGCCAAATTTAATCGTATTTTAGTACAAATTGGGGGAATATATGAATTATTATATGTATTTATTTATATTCGTTATATATGTATGTATGTAGGTATCTATATATATATATATTCCTATTTGAAGCTTTGTAGGCTATAATAATAAAGACTAATATTCATGATATTTTTGCGTAAATATTATTAGGGGTGTCAAATCAAATTTGTAGATTTGGGACTTATTTGAAATTTACTTAAGTTGAAAATGAGTGACCCGAATATTAAACTGGTCAAAAAGTCCAACTAGTATGTGACCCTGTACAACCAGCTACCTCGAACCCTACCCATATAACTTGTTTAGCACAATGCATTATAACTATTTTGGGTTAAATTAAGGTTAATAGTGAGTAAATATCGAGCCAATTTTGAGTAAATCTCAAGTAAACATTTGGCTGGTCAATTTGAAACTAACTCCAAAAACTAAAATGAATTAGAATTCCTATTCAGAACCCAGCCAAAAAATTATTCAGCTCAACTCGCACCTAAAATTCATTTTAGCCTACTCTCAATATCATTGACAATTTGACATGTCGTATCAATTTATTACACCCTAAAAATATTGCCACCCGCTTATTCTCTTTCAAACTTCCAACGGACGAATTTCAAAGCATAAGAATTCCTTCCAAATAAATTAACCACCCCAATCTCGTATTCCTTTCTCTTTCTCTCTCCCTCTCCCTCTCCCTCTCCCCTCTATCTCTCTCTCTCTCTATCTCTCTCTCTCTCTATCTCCCCTCCCTCATAATTATTTTATTTAAAGCTTTCTAAAAAAGATGTTCTCCTCCCTCCAACGTCTCTCTCCACTCCTCAATTCCCCAAAAAACAATCTCCCTCTTTATTTTTCTTCTCTTTTCTTCCCACTTTTCTCTCCCTCTCTTCATTCCTTTCCATAAATTTTCTCCCTCTATTTAAATAATAATAATAATAACTCTCACTACTTAGGCCAACTCTCTTCTCTCCTAAGCTCACCTTGCCCCCCCCCCCCTCCTCCCCCTCTCTCTCTTCCCTCCCATCGCACCAAAATAAAAGAAGCAGAGCAGGCCACGCACATCCTACGTTGGCGCATGCATGCACGTAGCCACAATCCGATTCCTCAGCAAACAATGGTATCCAATCTTATATATCCACCATTCTCTCTCTTTCTCATTGTATTATTCTTCTAATTTTTTCTTTTTAATTTCTAAGAAAACTAAAATAACTACCATAACTTCATCATTTTCGTTGTTTTCTTAATCATTTAAATCTTTTCTGAAATTTAATTGTTTTGTCTTGACTGAACTAAGACTTAGTTTTTTCTCAAAATGCTGAAATCTTTACGATAAATAGAGCTGTACAGATCATATAAAAAGAGAAGATGAATTTATTTACATAACTTTAGATGTTGAAAGATTATTTTGATTTGTGTTTTCGCTCTTAACGTTTAGTTATAGAGATTTATATGATCTGAAATTTGTTTTTATTCAAATTCTCTCAGACTGAACTTTAGATTCTTTCATTTTAAAATCTTCACTTATATAGATTTATTGGTCTGAAATCTTCACTCTTATTTAGTATAAATATTCATTAATTAGATGTTCATGGCTGCTCACATAAGATGGCACCCATTCCCATTTTCTCTTATAACTAATATACGCTTAAATTTTCAAAGAAAAAACTCACTTAATTAATGAAATAATTAAAAATCATAATGTTGACGTTACTTAACAAAATTTCATAGCTGAACTCGGAAAAATTATTCCATATGGACACAGAGATGTATACATTGTCCGATCTCCGTCGTCCATCACAGCAAAGATGTATGACAGTGGACCCTATTTTGAATTTTTTTTTTTTTTAAAAATTACTGTGATGGAAGGTGGAGATTGCAAACCGTATGCATCTCTGCTATGGTGTCCGTACGGAATAATTTTTCCTAAACTCGTGACAATATTTTGTTGTTTGACATTTACATTGATAACACTATTGGTGTCATTAAACTAGCTATGCATGGCAGGTGCATTTCACTTTTAATAAGATAATTATGAATAATATATGTAAATATGTTTATTTATCTGTAATTTGCGTAAATACATAAGAATTGTGTGGTATGCATGTAAATGCCCCTAATCTTTATTTCATTAATATACCATAATAAGTTGCGTTGATAGTGGACGGAGAGTTGATAGCCCGGTGGCAAATTTGGTACATTTAGAGAGGATGTTGTGAGGGTCTGTCCAAAATGAATGTAAAATATACTAAAAATAAATTTAATACTATCTTTTTTTTAAACAAAATATCATTCTCTATAAATTATTATTTTTTTCCATCAAAATATTTAAAATTTCTTAATTAATCCTCTACTTAAATTACTCATCACATCTTAATACATTCAAATAATTAGCACCTTAATTCCAATAATTAGCACCTTAAAGGGTGTGCTTGGCTGACAGTAGGATTTAAGTTAAATAAGATTTACTAAGTTCGGATTTATGAAATTTAAATATTATTAAAGCTAAAATGATATTTGGTTCAATTAAGGTTTAATCTAGTTAAATTCATTTGATGTGACTGGCATTAAATATATTTAAAATATCTTTTTTCTGCGCTAATCTAACTAATAAGTGGATTTAGTAAATTCGAATTTAATAAACAAAAGAAGCAAAAAAATTGAATCTAACTTAACGATGAATTTATCTTGACTTATTTATTGTTTTTAGCTGGATATAGATTAAATCTAATTTAAACCCTCTTATAATTATCCTGCCAAACACTCCCTAAATGAATTGACATAAATGAGTGGGCAAATTGGAAAGTTAACTAACTTCTTAAAATGTAGTTTCCTTTTTTGCATGTTTTTAGTAAGAGTAATATGGTTCCTTCTTATACATAGATGGTAGGCAAAATATACCTTTTTTTCTGGAAGATTAGCTTAACTACTTTAACTACCCTAAATAAGAAATGAAGCCATTGATTAGCATTAAGAGACCTTGTTAGGAAATACTTAATTATATGTATACATTGTAGACTAATTATTTGAATATATGCATGCATGCAGGAGCTGTTTGTAATACTATTTTTATATTTGACGGCTGTGGCCAATGCTGAAGGTTCTCCAATAATTTATAATGTTATGGCGTATGGAGCAAAAGGAGATGGCAATACAGATGACACCAATGTAAATTTAATATTTTTCCTAATAAATTCATGCATTCTGTTTTTTTTTTAATTATTATTATTATTATTAGCTAATGATTTAGCTAATAAATTAGTTTGTTTCAATTGTGAAGGCTTTTCTGAATGCGTGGAAAGCAGCCTGTGCAGATACAAGAAATCCATATGTTGTTGTGAGCAGCAAAGGAGGAAAGAACTATATGTTAAGCAAGATAATATTTGAGGGGCCTTGTCGATCCAAATTGAGATTTTTGGTGATTATGTCCCTTTTAATTACTCGTTTTTTAATTTCTTAGATATTGGCTAGAAATAATAGTCATAACACTTAAATCAATAAAATTAAATTTATGTGGAATAAGAGTTTTTAAAAAAAAAAAAAAACTCTTTTTTTTTTTTTTGCATATTAAGGGGTGTTTGGTAGCGTACTATTCACAACATAAAAATCTTGATTTACTAATAGTCTATTTGGGGCAGCTGTAGCTTATTGAATAATTTGCTAATAAGTTAGGTATGGTAGCTATTATAAATTTTTATTTTTTGGAAAATTCAGACCGCAGCCAGAAAGCTGCCACCGCACTTAGAAAGGTGCGGTGTGAAAACATAGTTTTTAGTCTATTATAAATTTTTATTTTTTGGAAAATTCAGACCACAGCCAGAAAGCTGCCACCGCACTTAGAAAGGTGTAGTGTGAAAACACAGTTTTTAGCTTTTTGAAAACGCATAAATTGTCAAAACACAGTTCACCCAAACAGATCACGTGTGTTTTCAAAACGCCACCGCATCAAACAAGCTGCCCCAAATGGGCCCTAAATCCTGCTAATGCTAAATCCTTCCTGCAGCCAAATATCCGCTAACTAAAAAACACATGCTTATTGCAAAGCTTTAATTTGAAAATCATGAAAAGCTAGTTAATTAGATGCTTCATTTACTCTTCCACCCAACATGGGTAATGAGACCAATCATCTTCTAGTATAATATTTGCATGCTTTATCCCTGATAGTTAAAAAGTCAGGCAGAATAAAGCATGCATACATATATGTATATTGCTTGATTCAGTAATGCTATAAGGTATTTTTGTAAAGAAGTCAAATGGTTTAATAATAAATGCTTCATTCAATTTCAAACTTTTGGAAATTACCGTTTTGCAAACTTGGAAAGTCAAGTAACGCGAAGTTGCAAAAATAACTGCCATAAATTAAAAATGATAAATCTTACTGCATAATATATATATATATATGTCGGGTACCCCGGTCTGTTGACTGGCATCAGGTCGGGGGTTCGAATCCCCTCTGACAAGATTGGCATTAAGGAGGTGGTACTTATTGAATTGTTAAGAGGTGGCTGAAGTCTTGTGTAATACTGTATGATCATTTCTTTTTGGGATATACATAAATATATATATATATATATATAAAGAGAGGTAGAGAGAGAGGTTTCAATCATAATAGCAATAATTTAATATTGCAAGCAGATTAGTGGAGGGCTTGTGGCCCCCAACAGAGTGTGGACCAATCAAATTGACACGTGGATCGTCTTCAAAAACGTTCCTGGACTAGAAGTGCTCGGTAGTGGTTTAATTGACGGCAAAGGCTCCATATGGTGGGACTGCTTGTCCAAGCACGTAAGCTAATCTAAGCATTAATTAGTAAATTCATTTATGATATTAATTACACAATTAATCATTTATTAACCTTCTAATCTTGTTTAACTCTTTCTATTTTTCATCTCATCCTCCCCGGCCACAGCGATGCAACAATGCTCCATATGTAAGTATGAATATACATATATATACATATATATATCAAATTTCTTTTTTTTATATATATTGAATATTTTTGGATCAGAAAAATAATAAGTTTTTATAATAATAAAATCAGATAATGGAGTTTATGGGATGTCATTACCTTAGAGTGATGAATCTTAGGCTAAAGGATAGCCCTGGGAAGCATTTGGTGGTTTACAAAAGCGATTATGTAATATTGAGTGGTGTCATAATCACTTCTCCTGAGAACTCCCCAAACACTGATGGAATTCTCATATCTGACTCTCAGCATGGAATCATCACTCATTCCAACATTGGAGTAGGTATGCAAACTTTAAATTTGCATTTAATTATTACAGAAAAAAGTCAAAATATTAGAAAGATTAAGGATTAAATATAGGGGTGTAGGTGAGTCGAGTTGACTCGCGAGTCAGCCCGAGCTTGGTTCAATAAATCGCTCGTGAACTGAGCTTGATGAGCTAACAAAGCCAAATTCAAGTTAGGCCCGAATGGACTCATTAGCTCTTGAGAGCTAACAAAGCCAAATTCAAGTTAGGCCCGAATGGTCTCATTAGCTCTTGAGTCAGTTGGTTTAAGAAAATATTAATATAAAATATACTTAAAATATATTAAATTTTATGAATTTATTATTAAAATAAAAAAAATCTTTTAAAAATAATATTTTGTATTTATATTAAGTGATTTTGTATTATTTCTCTCCTAATTGCTCGTTCTATTTATCATTTTATTATAATTCTACCTTAAATTAATATTAGTTTCTCTCTTCTATAATAATAAAGCTGGCTCGTGAGCTGGATAAACTTAAGCTCAAACTCGAGGTCAAATTCGACAAAATTAATTAAGCTCAAGCTGAGGGAGTTCAAGCTCAACTTGACTAGACTCATTTTTCACCCTTTATCGAATACAATGTGACATTTTATTCTAGGATAAAATATAAACTTGATAATTCATTTTTATGACACAATATTTATCTTGACGTTTCCATGCCTTCATACTATGAACATTTAAGCACATCAAAACTTGTTAATGTCCAGGAGATGATTGCATCGCAATTGGGCCACGTAGCTACGATATTAATGTGAGCTATATCACTTGCGGACCAGGCCATGGCATAAGGTCAGTCTATATATATATATATATTCGATATATTAGTTTAAATTGATATGGTTTATTATAACTGAATATATATAATTATTGTTTTAAATTCATTTGCAGCATTGGAAGCCTCGGGAAAAATGGTGTTGAAGATAATGTGGAGAGAATTCATATCTCAAACAGCTACATTTTTAATACCCTTACTGGTGTCCGAATTAAGACATGGCAGGGAAATAATTTGAAATTAGCAAATGATAATTTTTTTTAAAAAAAAATTATTACCTTTTAAAATAAAAAATCGGATTTTATTTATTTTTATTTTTAAAATAGTGCATAAAGTTTGTTATTTTACAATAATACCATTTTCTAACACAATAAATACATGCCGTGGTATTTTTGAAAGGGTGGGGCTGGTCATGCGAAGTTCATCACCTACGAGAACATCAACTTCACATCAGTAAAGGCAGGTGTCATAGTTATCGATCAATATTATTGCCCTTACCAAAATTGCCCTAACAAGGTAGATTTGCAATATGTGATGGGATATAAAATATTTGGGTGGTATAAATATAAAATAATAAAATTTTGAGTATCTAACTGTGAACTTGTTTTGTTGATATAAAATTGACGACGGCGATGATGATGATGATCGAAGACGGGCAATGTCGCAATAAGCGGAGTATCCTATTATGGCTTACAAGGAAGCTCGGCAAGCGACGTGGCCATCAGACTGGCATGTAGCTCGAGCATTCCATGCCACGACATCACCATGAGTCAAGTGAGCTTTACTCCTCAACAATCCAAAATTCCACTTCAATCTTACTGCATCAATGCACAAGGAACTGAAAGTGGGCTTGTTAGTCCTCATACTCAATGCTTGAAACATAAGCTAAATATTTAGTCTTGATGCAATATTATAGCTTAGGTATCATGAAGATATATATATCATGAGGTTTCAACAGTCATTTTACTTAGTTTTTTTTTTTTTTTTTTTTTTTTTTTTTTTGTTAGTCGTGTGGTTAGAATATGATTGATTTCGAAGCCTTTTTATTGTTTTGAATCTGGTAAGGTCTCTCAAGATATATATATGTATATGAGATTATAGAATACTCTTATATTACATGTAAAATAAGGGTTTTTTTATTATTATGTTGTTAGTGGTAGTTATCAGTTAGCTTTAGTTTAATGAATGATTTTTATTATTGTATTAGGCTTAATTTTGGGCTCTCATTATAGCTAGAGCTTATCTTTGTTAGCATAAAACATAATTTTTTAGTGAGTGATGTTGAATGAAATGTAATATTGAAAGATTTACATACATACCACCGAAATCTTATATATTTTCATATCTAACATCTAAACTTCAATTTTTACATAAATACCACTTTTCTGTGCATGAGAAGGTGTATTATATATTTAACATTTTATAAGTTTTAAAAAATGTTGTATGTTTGATGTGATATGAAAATTTTGGGTGGTATAAATATAAAAAACAAATAAAGTTTAGGTGTTAGACATGTAAATACACAGATATTTGGTGGTATGTATGTAAATGCCCCTTAATTTTTTTTTTTTTTAATGAAAACTTATAGTTATAGGTGAAGAGCACAAGCTGATACACTTTAGGCCATGTGTGCACGAACTTTAAAGTTCGTGAAAGAGTTGGCTGCCCTTTTTGGAGAATATTTGAATTAAACATGCATTAATTGATGTGCAATATGTTCTATAAAAAATGTATTTTTCAAAACTTAGTTTTAAATTTCTTTGCAATGTAGTGCCTCGTTAGAAATATGTTTATCTCTAGGTTTAATGGGCCATGTAATTATAGTTTAATGATCTATAACTAAGTTTTTTTATCATACATTGATTGAATTTATCTTATTTTAATGCAATATATAGTTGTAAATATATATAAATATATAAGAGTTTTGATATAAATAATTAGCATGCATAGTTTATAGAAAATGAGTGGGAGGGAGGTGAGGGAGTAATTTTTTTTAACACACAAAAGATGTCTTAAAAAGTTTTTAAAATAATTAAGCCCTAAACCCTAATAATTATTAGGTATTATACAACTAAAATTATAAATGATATTTCGAGTCTTTTCATTTATTTTTAGGATGCTTTCTTCAAGGGCTACTAACTATTCAATCTTAAGCAAATTTGACTTTAAATTAATATCAACTCCAAGTTATTGTTTCAATCTCAAGTCCGATCAAGAATGAAATGGGATGAGTAGAAAGGCCTTGGATAAAGCTCTAAGAGGAAAACTTGTCTCAACAACTTTAAATCCACCCTTGCAATCTAACAGGCTTCAATGGGGAATCTGAAATAGTCCTTGAGTGACTATCCCTTGTTCTTAAAAATTCATGAGAAATGGGATGAATCTTTGATTATGCTTCTTTTAGCTATGAGCTACTCAATGAATAATTTGGCAAAGCTCATTGAAGGTGTTGATAGTGCCTCCGTGGAAGAGAGTAGAATCAGGTGCGAGCTTGGCTCTTGAGAGTGGCACGAAACACTTGAAAGAGAAGCACATCAAAGGAATGTTAAATGTGCATGATGGTTTGATAGTGGTCAACGTGCTTGTATGGGCCACTTACCCATTCATATGAAGGAATGCTCGGGAGTTTGAAACCTACTGGGATGGGGTGTTGGAGAACTATCTTGACCAAGGATGAAGACTCTTGAAAATTGTAAAGAGCGGAGAAGCGGTTCATCTCCCCTGAGGGAACTCTTCTCGAACTAGATTGATGTCATAGCTCGTCACAAATCAAGTTTTCAAGTGAAACAAAAAGATGCAACTGGGGTGAGCTTCTTGTGTGCGTTAAGGGTGTATCGATCAGTCTATTTATGGGAAACAAATAAATGGAACTTGCAATATCAAGAGGTTTGGTGTCTCGGCTTAATAGAGAAGAGTTCTAATATAAGGAGGGAACTCAGTACGAATGTGCTAAACAGGAGCATTTTTTGTTGTCGTTGAACGAGCAGTAAGTAAGCTCCATTTAGCTATTCAGGTGGTGATTGTCGAGCCTCACATAAGATTTAAAAGATATCATATTTAGACTCCTCCATCCTGCACCCTCAATCCTCCAGAGAGAGACCCAAGGTGCCTTCGCTGGTAGGATAATGTCCTCTAAGGTGAGAAGTGGCGTAAGCATGACATCCTTGACTCTATGACTGTTCCCTAAAATTGTGAATGTTTGAGTGAAATGCTATGTTGTTGCGAGTGTTGCATTTAGTGGTCATTTAGCAAGTTTTTTAAGTACTTTAGTGGTGGGATTATTCATAGAAGATGCTAAATTGATGAGTGCAAAAGAATTCACATAGTTAGAGTAAAGAATTATCGTCTTAGAATTGCATGAGAATCCAATACAAACTTAGAAAATAAAAGTGATGGTAAAGAAACCGGAAATGTTTACATGGAAAAAAAATTGTTGGCATCACTTTTTGATTCTAACAATAGATTCTTGAGCATCTAAAAGCTGGTCTTGGGACATTTTGGCACCTAGTCCTAAGAGGATGTGGGAAAATATGTTGAGATTGAGGAGCAGTTCTAAAAGCTGATCTTGGGACATTTTGGCACCTAGTCCTGCTCCTATCAATATAATCCTGAGCAGGAATCTCAATCTCAACATTTTCTTCCACATCCTCCTAGGCGTTATTAACAGATACCTCATGAGCTGTAACTCAATCAAATATCCGAGTCAGAGAGGATGAACTCAATGAAACAAATGAAGCTGCATCGAACTCTAACTTCTCCTGCATATATGTGATCCTAATAGAACTCTCCACCTGCTTTGAGTCATAATTTTTCAACAAGCTTGCCTCGTTGAATGTAACATCCTTGCTAATGACAATCTTTCTTTTTGGTAGATCATACAACTTGAATCCATTAAATCCACGCCTGAAGCCAATAAAGATCTTCTTCTTTGCTCGTGGTTCCAGTTTATCATTATGCACGTTGTAATTAGTTGGACACTGAAACAATCTCATGTGCTCATAATCTCTAGCAAAATGTCCTGACCACATCTCTTTTGGGGTCTTCTTCCCAATAGCTACAACAGGCATATGGTTCACCAAATGACAGAGATATTATATGTCTACGACCTAATAGATTACATAAAACCCAGCATTAGATAACAAACACCGAAATTTCTCCACCAAAGTTCAATTTATCCTCTTTGAATCCCCCCCTGCTTTCTATTGTGGTGTCTCTCGAACAGTGAAGCGGTGTTCTATCACAGCTCTCTTGCAATCTTGCAAGAATGCATCTTGAGTGTATTTGCCTCCATTGTTTGATATGATACATCAGATATTTTTACTAGTTTGAGTCTCAATCCACTTCTTCTAAGTTATGAAAATATTGAACATTTTGCTTTTACACTTCATGGTATACTCCTAACCATACTTGGAGTAATCATCAATAAAGGAGAAAGTATCTTCACCCTCTAAATGATGTTGTATTTGTCGGGCTCCAAACATCTATGTGAACATACTCTAAAATGTTGTTGTTTGGCAAAAATTTATTTGAAGTGTTCTTCCTAAGCTAAATTTGTTAAAGCCACCTAATGATGGGATTTAGTAAGTCCAGATTTACGTCAAAAAAGAGACTAAATGGAGAGAAAATTGGATTTTCCATATTTTTCACGTTTGGTTGGATTTAAGTTAAATACAGCGATAAATACTATTAAAAGGGTGCTACCAAACACCCTCTATGTATTACTATGTGATTAAGTGACCCAGAGGGTTTTTATTTTTATTTAATATTTTAATGTGTAAGAGGTTTTTATAAAATTATCTTAGTTGTTATATATTGTTCTCCAGGTGAGGGGACAACATATTATTGGGAGGTGAGTCAAGAGGGAGGCTGATAATGGATTTGACTGTGAGAGGGTGGGTTCTAATAGAAACACATTGGGTTCATACAGATTAAGATGCCCAGAGTAATGATGCTTTTAGTCGTTTCATATCTCCTTATTTTATTATCACCCGAATAATGATCACTTCTATCTCAATTAAATGTTGTTGAATGTAGTTGCACAAAATTTTTAAATTTGTATATGTGCATGCTACTATTATCTGATTAAAATATATAGATTTTCTTATGCATGAGGGATAATTGCATACAGAACATCCGAAACATTGATATTTATAAATTAATCCCCCATATGATTTCTTTTGAACTACCAAACTGATATATTTACATGTGCCGCAATGAAAATATGATAAAAATGAAAAATATGGGTTGGGGTTTTCCCATTTTGATATTTGAGTGAGAATTTGAAAAATAGATGAAAGAGGGCGATTGATTTGTAGATAGCAAGTTTCGGGTGGTTTATATGTAATTTATTAGTGTATTTTTTAATTTTGCATTGTTCAATCAGAAAATAGAGCTCATTTGCCTCAACACTTTATCATAAAAATTAGTATTTTTCAGAATTTTATGATGAATTGATTATCTATAAATCATACAAAAAGTAGTATCTTAATGACCGCCCAAATATTTAGATAAAAATTTCATTAGTTTAATGGTTTGATAAAATTACATGAATTATTATTATTATTATGCATGGAAGAGCACCAAGAATAACTTTAAGGGATTTATTTCAAAAATTTGATGTTTTTCCTTAGGGGAAGTATAAGGCATTCTTAGCTTGATAAAGGCATCAACGTGTGTGATAGTGTGTAAAGGAGGGGAGTGCTCCGAGCATGTTGGGGGGAGGCATGGACATGAGTGGCAACATGTGAGGGAGAGGAGTTCATAGGGTGAAGGCATGGATGTGAGCGATGATATGTGAATGAGAGGAAGAGCTCAGTAAAGAAGGCATCACGAGAGACGTGAAAGTTCAAATTTTTTCCGAGTCATATTCGAACAAAATTCGAGCTACATTTAAATATTGAAAACATATTAGAATTATAAGTTCACAAGTACATAAAGGGGATGATATCATCTAAACTAAACTTTCAAATTATTTTTTGTTCAAGAAAATAAAAAGTAGGGATCCTTTTCTGATTAATATAAGGTATACAAAGTCAAATTTTCATGAGGTTAAGGGCGCATTATCATATATAATTAGTAATGAAGAAAAATTTATAAGAGTTGTATATGGTATTTAACTTTTTTCAATAACTTATACATAACATCTATGACTATTAATAGTTGATAGATGGTAAGTGAAACTAGTGATAATTAAATGTGAAATAAAGGAGTAATAAAGCGTAATTTTAATTAAAAAATGATACTTCATGAAAAATTTCAGATTTTTAAATATCATGCTTCATTGATGGATCAAAAATTCCTTGATAGAATATTTAAATTTAAAATTTGTAAAGTTAAATTTGAGATCATTAAAATTCTTATTTTAGCAGAACTTGAAGCTGAAACGTGTGTTTTAAAGATACAAACATGATGATATCAAATATACCTTAATTTAACCTAAAATAATCCTATATAAAGCATTAAAGAAAAAAAATCAATAAAATTATAAAAAAAACCTACTGATCTTCAAATGGGTTAGCCTTGATTAAAAATTTGAGAGACCTTAAATATCTAAAAAATCTCATTGATCTTTTGAAAGGCTGATACTGATAGTTACTACTAGCAATTGTTAATCATTATCGTATAACCATCATCGTTTAACTACAATCATTCAAATACAATAATTTAGCTGTTGTGGCAACTATCATTGTTTAATTATTATCATAGAACTACAATTGCTTGATTATAGTCACCTAAGCATCATTTTTTAACTGTAGTTGTCAAATCACCATTGTCTGGCTTCATCAAATCACAATCGCTCAGCTAACATTGCTTGACTAGCTTTGTCTGACCACCATTTTAGTTGTTGTCACATGTCATCTCTTCACTACTACAATTTTCAATAAAATAAACTCAAAAGGCAACATCATCAATAAAGCTAATGTAAGTTATTGACACTAATGATGATGCATATCATTGTTAATAAAGCCGATGTTTATCATAAACAATATTATGTACACACAACATCATTAATCAGTTTAATATACTCCATTAAAACTAAAAGTAATGCACACCATCATTAATAAAATTAATGCATGCCGATGACATCAATTTTGATGCACTCTATTTACTAATAAAGTTGATGCATGCTATTAAAATCAACATCAACATCCACCATTTGCTAATTATAGCATTAATGTGCATCATTAAAACCTAATATTGATGCATTTCATTGCTAATAAGATTGTTGTATTTCATTGATATTAGTATCGATTCTTGTCATCACTAATAAAGCTACAACACATTATCAACATTAACGTCAATACTAGTTATTGACACCAAGTCTGATACTATGTTTATGGTTCATAATATTATATTATATGAGGAGAATGATGGAATATATCACAAAAATCTCTTAAAGATAACTGCTATGGCATAAATTTGGTGCCCTTGATATCTTAAACGCATTATTTATAATTCATATATGATATATTGTATTAATGTCTTCATCAATTATGGATAATATTAACTTTTAAAGGGGGGAAAATCACAAAATGTTGAATTCTTTTTAAGTATTGGGATAAAAAATATACGAAGGGGGAGGGAGGGACAAAAATACTAAATTACCCAAATTACATGAGCAAAGATTACTAAATTTTACTACGTGTATAGTAAAATCTCAAATTCTAGTGTGGGGGGACATAACCTGGTTCCGCCCTTGTTTTAATTTAAGTTAGTTTGAACTAATCTTTGGTTGAATTAAAGTTTAAGGAGTAGTCCACAAATACTAAGTGATTATTTTTTATTTTTTAAATCTTGATTTGTCCGTAAATAACACCCCAAGAAATAGAACAAAAAAGGAGGTGGGGGAGGGGGTAGAGAGGGACAAAGATAAGAGTGAATAATGACAAGTAGTAATACACCTCTTTTATCTTTCTTTTCTCATAAAATGATCTCTCTATTTATAGAAGAGATGATATAATATAGTGAAATTGCATTTATGTCCCTGCATTAATGTGGGATGTATAGGATATTCTAGGTATTTTATGTATATGAGTATATCGCTTAGTTGCTGCCTGGCATTTAGGTCCTTGCATTAATGTGGGCTGTATAGGATATTCTAGGTATTTTATGTATATGAGTATATCGCTTAGTTGCTGCCTGACTCGGTCAGTTGAGCTTGTTTCACCTCAACTTGGTAAGGCACATTCGCTCAGTTAGCCTGAATCGACATTGTTGATTGAGATTGATTGACTTCAGGTCAGCAACATTGATTCAATCAACTAAGCTTTGCCGATTAATTGATCTAGTCTGGCTATTGAAGCTCGATTCCTCAGTGAGGACTTCCTGTCGGCGGAGCAAGATTGGACTATCAATAGAGGGTAAATCATCTTAACTTGATAGGTAGATCATTCGTCAATAAGGAAAACTTGTTGGATGACTATGAGACGTTGTGATATTATCAATTATTGGCCCTTGATGAGGAGCCTTTGAGCATCCGTGAAATGGCTGGTTATATTGAGAAACTTGGTCTTTCCTCGGGTCAGATCTACTTAAAGGTAGATTGCTGCCTTTGGTTGGCTTTCTTTCGGTGATTAGCTCGGATGTTTATCAGTCTTATTTTAGTTCGACTAGTTCAAATTTGGATCGATCAGTCATTCTTTTGTTCTTCTCCTGACTCAATCGGCCATCAGCTTTGGCTCGTTCAACTATTTCCAATCAGATAAGTGAACCTCATGGTTTTTTGTCGGTGGGCATTTATTTGTCATACTTTCATTCTCCTAGACTGTTAGATCTCATCAGTATTAACGCTGAAACATTTTCAATTTATATATTTTAGTTTTCTAATTCTCTTACCTCTAGAAAGCTACACTGAGTAGTAGCATTTATTCTTTAAAATAATTCAATAATTAAACTCATTGGATTTCCACGCCCTTGGTTCTTATAAATAGGGCGTGACATGACTATTTGACATTCCATATTTGCTCGGCATATATTCTTGTTTGAGTCAATCTGCTTCCAAGCACCATCAGGGAGAAGATGTCGAATCTTCTGATTAATCTCTTTAGCAAGGAAGTGCTTATTGTTGGCTTCGAGAGACCAAAACCACTTGGAAGGTGAGAAGAAGAAGAGGAGAACAGATGAACTAATTGATCAAGTGGGGTCGTTTGACTCATATCTCGGTCCTCGACAGAGGAAAAATCTTGCTGATGATGGAGACATATTGGGTGGTCTGAGCATCAATCTATTCGTTCAACCTTCTATTGTGGCTTGAGACTTGCCAACTGAACAAACTAAGTAGACAGCTGCTAGTGTTTTGTCGTTGCCCGGGTTACAAGAGGCCTTATTGAGTTGTTAGTGATGAGTAAAGCTAACTGATCTTCTCACATTGCTCTAACCAAAACCAAATTTGAGCTCGACCCACAGCCAGAGTCAGCCTTGTTTTAAATTTAAATTAGTTTGTACTAATTTTGCTGAACTAGTCTAAAGAGTAGTTATGTAATTATTTTAAATTGAGAATTGTTTTGTATGGAGTAAAATTTCAAATATATTTTTTGAATAAAATATATTATAGAATAATTTGAAGAGTTGCATTCTAAATCATATAAATTAGCATTGTAATAGACTGGCATATATATACACATTCCTTCTCGCCGCTGTTCTTTTTCTACGGTGCGGAGCCGCGGCGGAGAACCCTAGAGGCAGTCTTCTTCCGAGGTGAGCGCTCTTCACTCTCCTCCTTTCCGACATTACATTGCTTTGTCCAAGCTTAAAATAATCGCCCAAAATGGCATTTTCTCTCTAGGGTTGTTTGAAGCCCGTGCGAAGAAAAACGAGTGGATAGATTTAATACCGTTCATTTTCCTCTTTCTCTTAATGTTATTCAACCAGGATATCTTGATGGACGACCAAGGCGCGCTAGGAATTCAAAACTGGGGAAGGTATTACCGACCGCCGCCATTAAAGGGAAACCTTGGCCTGCAACTAATGCCCAATGTTGGAGAACGCATGACGATGTCCTTTCTCTCCGACGGCCATGGTGGCAGCTATCCCCGTCGGGAATGCGGCATTCCCGATTCTTTCTTTCCCAAAAGAGCCGTTTTTTCTCCAAAAGGCATCCCTGAGCTCTCCTCAATGCCGATTGACTGTGCACGGGACACTTGGTACCATAATAATGATGATAACGGTAAGATTTTTCATGTCTTCACAGGTAACCATCAACAACACTCAAACAGCTACGGAGCACTTATACCTGAAGCCACTGTGTCCTCTGCTGGACCCAGCGCCCATACACTCCAGATGCTGCAGCCGGTGGATCCTCCAACGCAGGAAAAAGTAGCTGTCTTTCAGGATCCTGATGTTCCTCAGGTGGAGGCTGTCCCCTCGAAGAAGAGGTCCAAGGGCCAGGCTCGCCCCGTGAAGGACTCAAAGCAGAAAACAGCCAAAAAGGCTGTTGCAAACAGGGAAGAGTCTGCCAACTCTTCAGGGAGAAGGAGATCTGCAAATAAGAACTTGGATATGGTGATTAATGGGATTGATTTAGACTTGTCAGGAATTCCTGCACCACTCTGTACTTGTACCGGCCAACCTCAGCAGTGCTATAGGTGGGGTGCCGGTGGGTGGCAGTCAGCTTGTTGCACCACGAGCATGTCCATGTATCCGTTGCCAATGAGTACTAAGAGGAGAGGGGCTCGCATTGCTGGGCGCAAGATGAGTCAGGGTGCCTTCAAGAAAGTGTTGGAGAAGCTTGCAGGTGAAGGTCAAGATTTCAGTAACCCAATTGATCTGAAACCTTTCTGGGCTAAGCATGGTACCAATAAGTTTGTGACAATTAGGTAATGATTTGAGTAGTTTCTCGGCTTTGGTAAGGTTCACCATTGATGTGAGTCTGTTCTTTTGTTATGCTTATAAACTTGAAGCCCCTTTCTAAGGATCATGTGTCAGGGTGTAGCACTTAATTTTGTTCATGCATATCTAACATGAGTTTTATGGTCAAAAACTTTCTGGCTAATTGAGAGACTACCTAATTTTATATTTCTTAAGCTAAATGATAGAAAGTTTACCCTTACCAATTTTCTTGTTTTGTGTTTTTTTAAAGTTTTTGTTTTTTTTTTTTTTTTTTTTTTTTTTTTGCTTCTTTCTGGTGCACTAATTTACTTTCTCTATGTTGAAGTTTCTATAAGAGGAACATGCAGCAAATTCTGCATGAGTGATTTGCAAGATCTTCTTAAAATTAGGGACTAGGCAATGTATGCTGCTGTTCTAAAGTCTGTGATGCTTGGAGCTAATGTTGATGTTTATTAACGTATTATTTGATTACACCTTTATTAATTGATGTTTTATTTTCCATTTATATGTAACCATTGTAGGATATAGTATATGTTTCTACTGTTTATTTTTCATTTCAGTTGGGTAAAGTTGTTGGGTATGTTTACAGGCATCCATCACGCACTATTCTATCCATCAATTTGCTTATGCATTTATGCTACCCTCTTGATGGATGCATAAAAAATCTCTGGTTTCTTAAGAGGGACATTTACATATATACCACACCATTCTTATGTATTTACATATCTAACATCTAAATATCATTTTTCCTTGCATACAATTCAATCTTTAACATCACATAAAAAATACCACCTTCGCTACGTTTTTAAAAGTGCAATGCACCTTTTCATGAATAGGTTTTTGATACAAAGGTGTTAATGTAAATATCAAACTTTGGGTGTTAGATTTTGCAAATACATAAGAATTGTGTTGTATGTATGCAAATTTCCCTTTTTAAAATTGAGGTCATTCATCAGAACACGGAACGAAAATGAGTTTTCTATTACGGTGGTAAAAAGCATGGCTATTGGTTTAAGAAATGTATAATTCACAGGCATACATTGATGGGTTAAAGATTGATAGTCTGCTTTCAGGGGAAGCCAATGTTTTTTTCAATCATGAATTCATTGGAACATCTCAAGTGTCTAGGTGATACCAATCACACTTTTATAATTCTTCAAAGGTCTTAACATTAGTTTTCATGTGCCCGTTGATCACGTTCTAGCTATCTTTATATTTATGTTTTGTTGCTTTTTATACCGTTTTCCTCTTCCTTTTTGTACAAAATAACAATGTTAAAGTGTTTTTATCACATGGCAAATACTTGAATTTATGACCCTTGTTTTTTAAGTTTAATAGAAACAAGGGCCTCATTTGATTTGGTAGGAATTATTAGTATTTTTCATATCATCTTCTGGTTTTTGTTATGCTTTTTTTTTCACATTGGCTCCTTTTGGAGCAAGAGTTATTACCGCTCACTTGAATTCAATAGGTACTTTTCCATTCACTTGCTGGCAATGTTACTTGCTACCTCCATTGCATTAAACTTGCACTTCAATTCTATTGGGGCAATTTCGACTATTCGTCAGTTGCCTAACATGGCCATTCTATGATAGCTTGTGAGTATTAAAATCCAACTATCTCGTTGGGTTTGTCACTCTTTCTTGTGTGGATTATGGTCTTCTAGCTCAAAACACTCGAAGATATGTGATTGCTTCTCATGTTAGTTTTTTAGGTCCTACAATTTATTTCTATGATATATCTTAGATTTTAGATTTTGGTATTTCGTCTCTGATAATCAGTAATCGACAATTTTTCACATTTCTTGCTTATCTTCATTCATTGATGCTGATGGCTCTTCTTTCTGTGCTGGGTGAAGCTTTATCTCACTCTCTTGGGTTTTTCCCTTTTAGATGTGTTAAATGTTACCAAGTTTCCTATTAATTTACTTTCTATTTACATTATCAGAATTTATAATTTCTCTATAACCTTATATCCATATAATTTTATTTTTCGGGATCTGAATATAGGTAAGATGGTTGGTGGGGTTCTCTATAACCTTATATCCATATAATTTTATTTTTCAGGATCTGAATATAGGTAAGATGTTTGGTGGTAAAACTACTGAAGTATCCATCTTATTGTAAAATTTAGGATCTCAATAATAGGAAAATGAATTGTGGAGGTTTTAAAGTTGGTGGAGCCTTGTTTTTGAAGGCCGAGATTACCTCTGCTTTGCCCTCTACTACTATATCATATTAGTGCCATTATTGTTTGTATCATCCTTCGCCAACAACTTTTCTTTTTTCTTCTTTTTTTTTTAAATTAACTTTTCTTTGTCCAATTTTCAATATAATCCTTGCGAGCTAGGTAAATATCATCAGGTATTTTTCTTGTTACATTTATGTCAAGTCCTAGTATTATTTCGTTTGAATTATTTAATTCTGATATTTGAGGGCGAAGTCATATTTTTACCCATCTAGGACTTGACTTTTCTGGTATTTTTAATTATGATCCTTCTTGATTCATATTGATGTATCTGCTAATGTGTAGGTCAAAAGTCTTTTTTTGTCTTCCACACCCATCAGTTAATAAAATTGCATTTTATTATTGTGATTAAAACTCTTTGTTAGGATAATACTTTGAAAAATTTGCAGTCTTAATTTAGCTAATTTTGTTCTAATAATGATTCATGTAGCCGTGGATAAATTTGTAGTCTTAATTTAGCTAATTTTATTATTGTGACACTAAATAGAACGCAGTGGAGAAAAAGGATTCATGTAGCCGATTCCACGTAGTGGGTTTAAGGCTTTGTTGTTGTTGTTGTTGTTGTTGTAATGAAATCATTAATTATGCTTCAGATCCTTATTCGTCTTAGTAGAATGGGTTCCCTACTCTAAAGCATCATTGATGATGCTATTTTGGTTGCTTGTTTGCTTATTAATCATATTAGATCTATAGTATGTCGTGATGTCACTCTTTTGTAAATTCCCTTTCCTTTCCAACTTAGAAGTTCTTGCTTGTGTTCACTTTTGTGAATTCCCTTTCCTTTTCGTGATACCCATTCTCAGAAAGACTTAAATCACTGCTATGATTCACTATTATATATATATAAACTGCAGCTAATGTTATTTTTCAGGAGCACTTATTGTACTTTTCTTAATAATCTTCTTTTGATTCATTCTTTCGATCTACTTATGCTCCTCATATATCCCCAACTCTACAGCTATACGCATGAAGATAGCTTCCCCCTATTGTTCCAGTTGATTAAGCATTCACCTACTGGAGGGTTATATGATCTTCATTTGCTCATTGCCATTCAGAAACATGAACAACAATTTTCAAATAATTCTGCTTTGCATGCAATTTCTTAAAGGAAGATTTTTTTAGATTTAAAAACTAAAAAGCTGGTTATATATTTAATAAGTAAACGTCATTTAATTTTTTATTCCTTACCATCAGATTTTATGATTTTAGAATTCATGTTGGGTGTTGCTGTATAATTTTATAAAGTTGATATCAAATATTGTTTCATAATGTAGGAATTATCAATATGCTAGAGATATGAAAAGATTGCATACACCTCCAGTGTATAAGAATTCCATAAAAATCTTGGGTGAATGTCAGTATAAATTTCGTACTGAAACACAAGAAAGTAAAGTAAGACTAGCTTTATGATGGTAAATCATTTTTCAAAAAAGACACACTTCATGCCATATCATAAAATTTTTGAGGCATCTCACATTGCTAAATTATCATTTAATGAATAGAAATTATATGATTTACGATCTTTCTAGCATGCTGAAACATTTTTTGTTGCTTTTGCGTCGTATCATTTTTATTCACCGTGTTCATCGCCATCGGAGAAAAAGAAGAAGAAAGGATAAAAGTATTAATATTTTTGCCTGCATTGCTGCTACTTTCATTTCAAGCATATTAACAATTTTCTTGAAGCTTAAATCCCATGATATTATTGCTCATTATATTTTACTATACTGCCCAACATGTTAACTCATACAATGATAAATTTCTTAATATATATATATATATATATAATATTATCTTTTCTTTATTGATTGCTGCCATGTTGTGACCGATTGTTAACATGAAAACTGAAGCTTTTTATGGCAACTTGGGGAGCTTGGGATTATCATATATATATATATATATATATATACAGATTGACTATGTTAATTTGGTTTATGTAGAAAACATGTAAATAAGTACCTTTTTTTATTAAGCTCTCATTCTCATGTAATTTTATGTAGAATGTTCAATTCATTTTGAAGTTCTAATATGTTTGCCCCGCATGTGAAGTATTCTATACTGGGTGTTAAAATTTTTCAAATATTTGTTTATTTTTAAATCAACATGTTTTCCAATATATTGACTATGTTATCTAGCATTGTAGATCTAAAAGGTTTAGTTTCAATATTAACATTTTTATCTAGCATGTTGATGTTAGGATGATAATAATGAAGGGAAAAAAAAATGAAAATGAATGCAAGAAAACAAATGTAGCAAACACATGAACAAATACAAGCACAAAATTTGTGTGCTTCATGTAGATTCATCCTTTGTTTAGCTTTTGAGTTAGATTATGTTTTCCTTGTGCAACGAAGCCTTCTTGTTGTAGCATATAGATGCTTTCTTTTAGATTATCATGGAGAAAAATGATTATATCATCTAACTGCTTTTTATATGTTTAGCTATGATGCTTGATACTAACAATGTGGTTTAAACACAAAGATAAAGTACCTTAAAGTTAATGCCTTGTCTTGGAAGGCTTCTGTCACCGGTCGCAATTTGTAGATTTTGCTGTCATTTTGCTATTTGAGTTCTCAAATCTTTTTTAAGTTTGGGGCGGCTGTTGTTTTTCCAACAAGTTGTTGTAAAGTTGTTTCCTAGAGAAGCAGATTTTCAGGAGCTATCCGAAAGCTGCCGATGAAAATCAAATGTCTGTTTGGAAAATCTATTGTGTTGTTATTATTTTTTATGAGAAAGACTGTTTTATCTTTATATATGTAATAAAATGAAATAACTGCAGTTTTCAAAATATTCAGAACTAAATAACAGAAAAATTTGTACTACCAAAAATAACTAACAGTTCAGTCCAAAATACTCTACAACAACAACAATAACAACAAAGCCTTAATCCCACTTCATGGGGTCGGCTACATGAAT